ATTAGTGGGTGCGCCCCTATTCCTAAAGTAAAAGGCGCACCCACCGCGCGCACACTTTTTATAAACCCTAAACCCTAAACCCTAAACCCTAAACCCTAAACCCTAAACCCTAAACCCTAAACCAAAACCCTAAACAGCTGGGTGCCGGGCCCGACCCTGAGTAACCACCGAGAAGCAGGGCCCTCAGAGCTCGGGCTCGTAAGGTTCATTGCTTTAGGCATGGGGTTTCGCTTTGATGGCTTAGGGTTTAAGGCCTCTGAGATTTTTGAGGGCTTTGGACAAGAGTCTAGGGTTTAGGGTTGTTTTGATGGTTTAGGGTTTAGGGTTCAATGTTTGGGGCTGGGAATTGCGGACTGGGTTATGGCAACTACAGTATCAGAGACCTTGAAGGGCTACCATAGGGATGCATTCCCCATCCCTTACTAACAACTACGGAGTTAGGACGACCTTGGTCAGGCTTTGGGTCTGGGTTTAGGTTTTTTTTTGAGAGCTTTCCGTCTCCACGCAGGTATGGCCTACGGAAGCCAACTGGAGGCGAGCTAATCCGACCCCCTTACGCACCTGCATTTGCAGGAGGAAAAGCCGAACCCAAGCCACGTCAGACTGAGCCATGCACAAGGGGTTTCGGGTTTAGGGTTTGGGGTTTGGGGTGAGTTTGGGGGGCCGGGGTTAGGTTCAGGCTTTAGGTTGATTTGGGTGTTAGGAGTAGGGTTTGGTGTTTGGGGTGTTAGGACTTAGGGTGCATTTGGGTGTTGGGCTAGGCTATAGTAGGGTTGAGAAAAATTGAGGGTGTTAGGGTGCTTGTTTTGCCGCATGTGTGTTGGGGGCTACTTGGGTTGCACGGGGAGGTTTAGGGCGATAGTAGGGTTGAGGGTTACATGGGGGATGTATTGGTTCAGACACAATTTTTGGAGTGGGTAGCAGTTCTGGCAGTGGTGGCGGCAGGAGAAAGAACTGTACTAGCAGTGGCACGAGGAATCCGCATCATCACCATCATCATCGTCATCATCATCGTCATCATCATCGTCATCATCATCGTCATCGTCATCATCATCATCATCATCACCACCACCGTCATCACCGTCATCCCCATCATCACCTGCGGCACCGACAATATCTCAAATTGGATTTCATCTTCGTTGCAGTTGCAAGGATCATGATAATCGGAACAACAAGCGGTATAGAAACCCTAATTTAATGACAAAGACGGCAACGCAAAGGGAAACGGCAGTTTTGTAAGTCATGACAGCTAGTAGTACTGAAGCAGGCAGCAGTACCATTCTGAATGATAACACGATTTTAGCAGGAGTTTGGTTATTGATTCTGATTTGCTGCATGAAAGACATCTTAATGCTCAAACTACCCTGAAACCCCTAAACCCTCAAGAACTACCTTGGCCCTGCAACCTCTGTGAGATGTACCCCACACAGGAAACTTCCACACCAAAAAGGGCACAACGAAATTTTCCGCTGGCCTAGCGACAGAAGAAAAACAAGTAGAAACTGTAAGACTTCGTCCTAACTAAACCCGAACAGCTCGAGGAAAAAGCTCTGAACCCACAGACCTTAAGCCCTAAGCCCTAAACCCTAAACCCTAAACCCGACCCCCCGAAAATCTGAGAACCCTTAAGCCTCAAAGAACATAGACACCCTGGACCCTGATGCCTCTAAGAGAAACCCTGAAGCCCTAAACCTCCATGGTAATATAGGAGCCTTAATAATTAGAATAGGGTTATGGGCCCATTATACTACATTTATAGTCAGGAACCCCCAAAATAGTATTGGTAATGGTAATCATTCAGGCCCCTACATTAAGCCTTCTAGTACAGCTTAAGGGAGCCCCAAGCCCTCAACAAGATCTCCGGCCGGGCTCCGTGCCGGCTGTGGAGTCGTCAGCCTTCGGCTGCCAAATGCCCCCCGGCTCCAGATGCGTGGGATCTGCCTGTGGTTTAGGGTGCAGGGTTAGGGGTCTATAACAGGGGCATGGGGCCTACATAGGCTATGCGGTTTAGGGTGGGACAAATTGCAGCATAGCTAGGCAGGGACTAAAGTGGGGGACAATGCCACTAAAAAGCCTAACCCTAAACCCCTAAACCTCGTTCCTAAACTCCTAAACCTCGTTGAAACGGTCCAGCGAGGCAAACGCAAGCCCTGTCCACGTGATCCGAAAGAGGGATCCTTGTTCATTTCACGACACCCCCTCTGGCAGCAATGAGTCAAGGACCCTTATTTGAATATCACGGGCTTCGGCCTCTATAGCTACCTCTGAAGCTTGAGGGAAGGGTGAAGCGCGCTGCCCGAACCTTGCAATTCCTGTCCCCCCGAAGCCTAAAGCTTGAGGGGCTTCAGGCAGTCTGGACTGAAGTGAGGGGCCCAAACCCCCTAGACGCTCCCCCACCAGCCTTCCCGATCTCCCCTGTGCTCACGATGAGCACTCGCAGCATTGGTTTGTTAGAAGCTCGCGTTTTTTTAATCATTCCCCGTGATTCCTTTGCCTTGCTGGATCCTGGAATACTGGCACTGGCAATCGCTGCAGCAAATCTGTGAGGGCTATGGGGAGGTTGGGGGCTTTGACTTGTGCACAGCGAACGCCTGCCACGGCGAGGCTCCCTGCTCCTCGTCTGCAGAACACTAAAACTTTAAGTCTGTCAATGCTCCTTTCGGAGCGGTACCCAAAGAGCCCAATACTCCTGACTTAACGAATTTACACTAAAGTATTGTGGGACTGGGTTGGTTTGATGTATACTTCAGGGGCATTGGGCTCCCTGGGCTTCGGGCTGGTGAAACGAAGCCTCCAACAGATCAAGGAACGAGACACAGGCTACGCACAACGACCATACGGGTTGTTGATCCAACAACAAGCCCCGTGTCGCTGCGATAGTCCTGCTTCTCAAAACTTGCTCGCAATGCCGTTCCGATGGGCACTAGTAGGGTTAGTAAACAAGTACTATTAGGGTAGATACGATAAGCACTGCATTCACACAATCGCATGTGCCATGCTTTTGATGGCAGGCGGTGACATAGACAAGCATCTACCTTCGCTGCTTACATGTGATGTATACTTGGATATTAGAACTTACGCGTATCTAGTATAATGCATATACATATACATATGCATACAAACATACACTTGTTTAACCATTAACTTGCAGCCAGATGAGTGCGCAAGTCGTCGGTGCTAACCTACTTTTTTACTCATGCTACAGCTCACTCCGCGTCAGTCATTATATGATCATTGAACATTATGATCTTCCGTTCTGTAATCGTTAGAAGTGACACAGCCCTCTTCACACTGAGCCGATTCACACTGAGCAGTTCACACTGAGATCTCATGTTTCATATGTCTGGTTGTTGTATCTTTAACACGTCCACGCTGCTTCACAAAAGTGGTGCTTCACACCGAGTTGTTTCACGGCAGTTTCGCTCAATGTAAACCAACTCAGTGTGAAGCAACAAACATACACATACATATTCATATACAGACACACATACATGTACAATTACCTGTACCTATGCCCAAGCTCATACCAATAGCTATACACATATGCATACACATGCGCATGTACACCGGTACACACATACACACACTCACTCCCATATACACGTACACATACACGTACCAGAACACATACCCGCGTACACATACACATACACGTACACATATGGCTACACACACGCATACACATACACATAAACAGACATGTACACATACACGTACACAGACATATACACATACACATACACATGCACTCACATGCATTTGCACATACACATACATCTACGTACACATACATACATACATATATATATATACATGCACATACACATCACACATACAGTCACATACACATACACATACATACACAGACAGACATGCAGTACATACACAGACACACACACACACACAAACACGCAAACACACACACACACATGCACACACACACACACACTGGCATGTAACAGAAACACCTATTGCTTCCTCTTTCGTACAGTGCACGGTGCAATATTGCCGAAAAAACAGAATGCTTTTGTTACGAAAGCGATCCCGACTATAATGCCTGCTGGCAGACCTTGGGGCCCCTCCACTAACGCGGCGGCCTTACTAACTTGAACAGGTTTCTGGTGTACCTTTGTAGTGGAAACTATAGAGAAGGACGATAAGATTGCTATATACAAGGGACTCTACTCACCTATACCGGTACTGAGTTCTACTTCACCGCACTGTGCTATATCATATTGCCATGTTGTTGTACCAGACCAGCAGCAGATCAAAAGTCTGATATGCCATACGATATGCCATACCTTAAACTACCATGACCTACTTTTTTGTAGGTTCCTATTACAAACCCTCATATTGAATTCCTAGCGACCCTACAAAAACAAGGTGGTAATTAATAGTTCAGGGTACAGTACTAGAATACCGTGCTTCGCCGGTCACTGGCCTGTGCTCTTCTTCTCGTCGCCGCTTCCTGGACTACCCGCTCGGCGATGTCGGTTCAGGAGTGTTGCCGGCTCGGACGGCTCTCGGGATTCCGCAAAACGAGCCAGCAAGCTTTGCACCCACTGCGTGTGAGGATGGCCCGGGCCTAGCACTTCCACTAGGACATCCTGGACGTGCTGGCAAACTCCTGTTGCCTCTTCGGTCCTGTCTAATGCATGCAAGCACTCTGCCATGCTTCCTTGCGCAAGGAGTGTGTGCGGGTGGCGTGCTCCCAAAACCTCAGTTCGAGCAGCCAGGACCTCTCGTCCCATCTGCAACGCTTCCTCCAACCTGCCCAGACTCTTGAGCGTGGTTGCCAGGTTTCCTTGTGCATCAAGCGTGTCTGGGTGGCGTGCTCCCAAAACCTCAGTTCGAGCAGCCAGGACCTCTCGTTCCATCTGCAACGCCTCCTCAAACCTGCCCAGACTCCTGAGCGTGGTTGCCAGGTTTCCTTGCGTTCTGAGCGTTTCGAAGTGGCGTGCTCCCAAAACCTCAGTCCGAGAAGCAAGCACCTCTTGTTCCATCTGCAGCGCCTCCTCAAACCTGCCCAGACTCCTCAGATTGTTTGCCACGTTTCCTTGCGTAAGGAGCGTGCGCGGGTGGCGTGCTCCCAAAACCTCTGTTCGAGCAGCCAGGACCTCTCGTTCCATCTGCAGCGCTTCCTCGAACCTGCCCAGACTCTCGAGCGTGGTTGCCAGCTTTCCTTGCGCGGCAAGCGTGTCTGGGTGGCGTGCTCCCAAAACCTCAGTCCGAGAAGCCAGGACCTCTCGTTCCATCTGTAGCGCCTCCTCGAACCTGCCAAGAATCCTGACAGTGAATGCCACGTTTCCTTGCGCGGCGAGCGTGTCTGGGTGGCGTGCTCCGAAAACCTCAGTTCGAGCAGCCAGGACCTCTTGTCCCATCTGCAGCGCCTCCTCAAACCTGCCCAGCCTCCTGAGCGTGGTTGCCATGTTCGCTTTTGCTGCCAGTGCCCACGAGTGCTGTGGGCTCAGAATGATCTGGAAGAGGCGGAGCAGCAGCTTCAGGAAGCGGGCCTGGGCCTGAGTCAGACTGCCTTATAATGAGGTGTCGATTTTGGTTGCACCGCTGCAACCCCTTTGTTTACGGGCATCTATAACCTGCATGAGTATGGCGATCAGGGTTTCAGGTTTTGGGGGTCAGGGCTTTAGTGTTTGAAAGTTTCGAGTTTGGGGTTTAGGAGCACCCGACATCACCAGCAAAGTCTTAAACGCTCAAACCACGCAAATCCAAAGTTTTATTGGGAGATCTTGCGGAATTCTTGTTTGTCTCGGTTTCTAGCCGCATGTTCGTCAACTTTTGCATGCGCCATCTGGTGGGTTTTGTTCAGAGGTTCGTTTGTTTTTCGAAATTTATCCGTCCAGTTGATTGCCAGCTGTAGCTTGAAACGCAAACCCTGTTTGCAACGCTGCCTTTTGACGAAGTCTCCTTAAAGTACATTTCGGGCTGGAGTTCCAACTAAAGGCCATGCCCGGCGTCCAAATTACGAAACCCTCCCTGAGTTTAGGCTCTAGGTGGGTTTATGTAGAGTCGGAACATGACCTAAAACCGTAACCAAAATATATGCTGAAGCCCTAGTGTTAGGGTGTTTATGGTTTCGGGTCTAGGGCGCCTCCGGGCCATTAATCCTACAGCCGGCACTTTCCTTGGAACCCTGACATGTGGGCCCTGAACTCTTAAGCCTCGAATCTTAATCCCTGATCCCTATAAGCCCTTAACCCTGAACCCTGAACGACGAAGTCCGGTAATCAGTGTCAGCGGCTTTCTTCCCTGCCCCTGCCTCCCACGCCTCCGCGTGGCGCTGCGCGTCCTCGAGCACGGCTGCTCGAAGAGCAAGGCAGGCGAAGATGCGGATGCAGCTGATCCCGATGAAGAGAAACTGCATCGCGGAGCCCCCATACACCATCACAAAGAGGGACTGCAGCAACGCTTGGGGCAGGTCTTCAGTCAGTGCCACGGCAAGCTTGGCTGGCGAGGTCTGGCCATCCAGAAAGCGCACTTTCCGGTGCAGGATGGCTTGCACTGGAGACAGCTGCTTCAGAAGCTCATTCGAGTGGAAGGCTTGCATGTAGGCGCCGGAAATGAGGAGCACCAGCACGCCCAAGGTGGCCAAGATGTAGCCGAAGTACGACCGCATGGCTACTGCCAGCCCAATGAAGAGCCAGTCCTTGAAGACAACCCTAAACCCTAAACCCTAAACCCTAAACCCTAAACCCTAAACCCTAAACCCTAAAATGAAGAGCCAGTCCTTGAAGACATCGAGGGGCTCCCCGAGAATCGGCAGCACCGCCTGAACGATTGGGTAGCCCAATGAGGGTTTAGGGTTTAGGGTTTAGGGTTTAGGGTTTAGGGTTTAGGGTTCAGGGTTTAGGGTTTAGGGTTTAGGGTTTAGGGCAGCACCGCCTGAACGATTGGGTAGCCCAATGAGGGCACCTCGCAGTCCCTGGGAAGGCAGAGCACAAGGCCAACGGCTTGGAGAAAATAGATCGGCAGCATAATCAGTACCCAGAACTCGTAGACCTCCCAGCAGAGCCCATGATTGGCATCCAGGCGACCTGTGGCTGAAGATAGCAATGCCAAGGTAGCGCAGAAGATGTGCAGGACCAGATGCCAGACGACGCGGTGCCAACAGAAGCCTTGACCACCTTGGTCGTCTTCGTTTCGGGGCTCATGAACTGGCAGCGGCGTGAAGCTGGGCGGCGGTTCTGACCGCATCCAGGCGGCCAGCCTGCGGCCCAGGCTTCCAAGTTGCGTCAGCAGCTCCCCTAGCACAAACGAAGCGAAGATCAGCCACAAGATCGATGACACGTAGTAGTCAAACCTGTGCTCCCGCTCACTTTTGCGAAGCTGGCTCCCGGCGTGCAAGGGAAGTGCGTGCTCAGGCCGGTCCAACAAGTGCACGCCGCCTTCCAGCATCCTCCAATCCTTCGGCAATGAAATGCTCATCTTCGCTGTCGCCCAGGGCAATACGAACGCTGCAGCCACGAGAGCTGAGAGCCAGCTCAGAGCCAGAAGGACGTTTTGATATGACTCCGGCCCGCATCGACATGCCCATGCTGGCAAAGAAAGCACCACGGACCAAAGAAAGGCAGACAGCTGCGCACTTGCGATCCCGAGGGCGAGGAAGAGCAACACTTCGAGCAGCAAGTGCCATGCCAAAGTCACCGGCTTGACGAGGTCCGGAACCGCCGGGAGGAAGGACACGGCCCTCTTGGCCTCAGTGACACCTTCTGCCAGGCTCTGAGAGCCGAAAAGCCGCCTGGCAGGCTGCTCCCTCGTTCCGGCCGAGAGCAGACCCAGCAGCCCGCAACAGGCCAGGAGGACGGCGCCGAGGAGCCGAAACGGTGGGATCATGGCTCAGGTGGAGGAGGCAAAGCACAGTTCATGTCCTAAAATCCGCGGATGCCCACGGGTGCTACAACGTATACGCATCTGCGAGGGCTCTGTAGGTCTCATTATGCAGAGCATCTCGTGGCATGTCCAATGCTCTTGATCTGATGCTGACGCTGGGAGGGCTGTGTGGAGGACGGCAACGTCGCAAGAAGTTCACGCTTCTGCCGTCTGCCACGGGCAGCGATTGTCATTGGCCCCGACATATGACACGAAGCTTGCAAGCCGTCCCTGCATCATGTGGTCCATCATTGAAGACAGGAGCGGAGCCACATGCTTTAGGATTTCATACAATGTTCAAGTTGTCTGTCTCGTGATTCTCGTGACCTTGGCCACATGACATGCACAGGATCAAGGCAATCTCCTGCTTCTGATAGCTTGAAGCCCTAAACCCTAAACCCTAAACCCTAAACCCTAAACCCTAAACCCTAAGCCGTTGAAGACAACCACAGCTTGTACCCAGACCCGAAGCAGTTCCCGGACGACTCCAGCCTGCAAAGCGATGGCCTTGCTGCAAAGGTCCTCCTTCAGGCTGTTGACACTTTGGTTTAGGGTTTAGGGTAAGGCTTCAGCTTAGGCTTCACCCCCTCTTGACACTCTTTCTGGTGCTTTGCCCCTGGTCCTGGCTCATAAGAGCCTAGTATGTAGCTCTCACGGTATGCAAAGCGGTGGCGACGGTTATGTTAAAGTTGAGGCCCTTGGAGGGACTTAGAGGACCAGCGAAGACATCTGCTTCATCTGGACCACCTTGCCAGAGCTTCTAAACCCTACCTAAACATATAGGGGCCTTACTGATTAGAACAGCTGTGGGGTATTACTAAGGAAGCCTAAAGAAGAGCACTGGTAATTATGCCGATTCCCGAAACCCTAGGCCCAAACTCGACACGGGTATCAGCTTGTTGGAGATCTTACCAGGCACATCAAACCAGGGACCTCATCGCGGGCGAAAAACGTGGATTTCTTAAACGAGAACTTAGGGCTTAGGGATACCCTATTTAGGTCCACATGATAAGGCATCTACTCATGTACAATCAAGGGTCTACTGCCGCCCCGCCCCCTGTCTTCTCGGGCAGCTCTCACCCCAGTGCTCTTCCAGAAATAGTCTAAGGTTGAACCCATGGGCCCCTAGTATAAGGCGGGGATCCTTATATACCTACTATATACCCTGTATGTACCCTTAAGGGTCCCTAGAAAGGTCTAAGGGTCCGCATTAGGGGCCCATACTTCTAACCTTCGAAATAGATGAACCCCAGGGTTCCGGGCCTTATCTTTCCCTGGCGGGACCTTTAGGAGAAAGCCCACAGCCCGAAAATCTACACTTGCGGCCCCCCGACCCTGCAAGGCCAACCCCGAAACCAAGAAGCCCTGCACCCTACACACCACCCAAGCTTCGCAGGCCTAGAACTCCCGAAGCCAGAAAAAAAAAACCATAAACCACTCTTGGACGACCTGCATAAGGCTGACAACCACCGAAAATGAATCCTAGGTTCGGCCTTCGAGATGGCAATAGGCAGGACACTCATCGGGATGCCTTCCATGACCTTCAACACAGAGCTTTGGCAAGGGCTTTCTTGGGCGCTATGCTTATAAGTAGTTTAAGATAAGGATCTACCCTAAACCCTAAACCCTAAACCCTAAACTAAACCCTAAACCCTAAACCCTCAACCCTAAAATTTAAGGGTCTTATGACGGACGGGGTTCGGGGTTGAGGCCTTGCGTGTTGGGGTTCGGTGGGTTTGAGGGTTTGGGACTGTGGGGCTTCGGAGTTTGGAGGGACGGTTTGCACGGGCTTTGTACTAAACCCTAAACCCTTAAGGTTTAGGGTTTAGGGTTTAGGGTTTAGGGTTTAGGGTTTAGGGTTTAGGGTTTAGGGTTTAGTTTAGGGTTCAGGGTTACTTTTTTTCGAAGTAGTATTTAGTATTATATCAAGTGCTGCTGTTGTCTGCGAGAGGAAGCAATGGCAAGCATCATGAACCCCGAAATGCATGGCTTCGACCCAATTCGACGTCCACCCCTGCACCCCAAAAGAGGCTAATTATTCAAGTATAAGGGCCGCAACAGGGACCCCGAACCCTGAATCCTAAATCCTAAGCCTGGAACCCTAAACCCTAAACCCTGAATCCTAAGCCTGGAACACTAAACCCTAAACACTAAACCCTCAACCCTAAACCCTAATCCAAACTGCCTTTCAAGTCGTGCACCCCATCGACACAGGTTCAGGGCTTAGGGTTTAGAGTTTAGGGTTTAGGGTTTAGGGTTTCGGGCTTAGGGTTTAGGGTTTAGGGTTCAGGGCTTAGGGCCTAGGGGTTTCGAATCCGAAGTTTTTTCAAGGGAGTTCTGCAACGACCGTCCGTTATCCGAAGCCGATAAGTCTTGTGTTCCGGAGCCGAAACCCCCCAGTCCACGGTTTAGGGTTTAGGGTTTAGGGGTTTAGGGTTTGGGTTTAGGGTTTAGGGTTTAGGGTTTAGGGTTTAGGGTTTAGGGTTTAGGGTTTAGGGTTTAGGGTTTCGGGCTAAACCCTAAGCCCTGAACCCTTGTCGATGGAGTTACGACTTGAAAGGCATTGTGGATTTCGCGTTCGCGGCTGCAGGGTGGTGGGGCTGAGGACGCGACTGGAAGACCTAAGGACTTTTAGCAGTTGGTTCAGGGTTGCGGGTTTAGGGTTGAGGGTTTAGGGTTTAGCGTTTAAGGCTTATAGGGTTTAGGGTTTAGGGTGCAGGGACATACTCTCCGAAAATCGAGAACCGAGCTCAAAGAACTGCCTCTAAGAATTAAAACCTTGACATCGAAACCTCAAAACCCCACAATCGATCTCGGCTTTATGTCGGGGCACTAAGACCTAGAATCAGCTTGGCGAATTGGGTTGCTTCTGGTAGTGTTGGATGGTAACTATACAGGGACACTGCCACTGACTATTCAGACCTCTATACTAGTTGAGGTCCGATGGAAATGCAGCTTTCCAGTTGGCGAACCCTGAACTGATACTGAAAAATTCAAAGAGCACCCTGCTACCAGAAACAAGAAAAGAAGAAAAAGCGCACCGTCAGCATGAACTTGCAAAAACGAATCTCCCCATGATAAGGGGCCTAGGGTTCAATAGTCTATGCTTACCACAAACCCTACACCCTAAACCCCTAAACCCTGCACCCGTCCTAAGCCCTGAACCCCTAAACCCTAAGCCCTAAACCCTAAACCCCTCCTAAACCCTAAACCCCTAAAGCCAAGCCCGTACACCCTAAACCCTAAACCCCTAAGCCCCCAGCCCCTAAACCCATACACCCCTAAACCCTCCATAGTCCATGCTTATGAGGTCTGTTGGTCCTCGCGAAGATCGAAGAGCTTGGCAACTAAAAAGTAACACTATTCTACTTGATCCTGGGGTTTAGGGTTTAGGGTGGAGCTGAAGGCAAAGCTTTGGGAGTATATTGGGATTATACAGGGTAGATCGTACCCCAACAAGGTTAAAGATTGCCTTGTTTCTGTAAGCTTCATTTGCGGGTCCATCGACCGAGGTGATCTATGCTACAAGCCGTAGAACGGAAACCCTTTGCCGAATGGCTCCCCTTTTCCCTAAGTTGTCGCAGAGTGCACGTCGTCAGCGGCGAGAAGGATGCCATGAAGCACAAGCTGCCCCATCCAGCTGCACACCAAAGAGTTCGAGGATCGATTTCCCAAACGACTTAAGATCTTCTGCCAGGGCATCGAAGTCAGACATAGCGTTCTCATGATCAAGCCGTCGCCCTCCATCAATGTGGGAAAGGCTAGGGTGAAGCTGCGTGGACAACACCACGTGTGCCCCCTCACACTTGATCTCCAACTCCTGCCGCGAATGTCGTGTCGGGAGTGGTAAATCCCCGTCATCAGCCTGCAGTAGACCACTCTTCAGCACGAGGCCTTTAAGGACATGAAGACTTGCGGCAGACAAATGGCACTCTTTTCGGAGCTTCTTCCCCTGAAAGAAGCCTCCTTGCAGGAAGTCCCGGGCGAACCGAAATCTTCCGCTGCTGCAGAACTCAAACTCGTGAAGCTCGTGATCATCTTGGAAATCTCCTGGGCTTTGAAGTAACCAGGGAGAAAAAAGTATAGACTTCTATTTCAAAATGTCTCCTTTTAGAACTAGGTCCCCCCAAAAAAAAAGTAATAAAGTATGGTACTCCAAAGCCCAGTCTCTTCGCGCAGAGTACTTGACATAGAAGTCGTCGGACACTTCCACCATCCCTCAGAAGCCGCGTGGCGCCCAGAATTATGTAGGAGTTTCGGGGTGAGGGTTTGGGCTTGGCTCTAAGGGTTTAGGGTTTAGGGCTTAGGGCCTAAACAATTACCTATACTCTTTCGGGGGTGCCTTATTGTAATGATTGTACAATATACCCCCAAACCCTAATCTAATTATTAAGGCCCCTACATTATCAAGAAACATGCCCTGATGAAAGGGTCTGGGAAATTCTTAATAGTGGGCCCTGACTCAGCCCCGGCGACCGGGATATTGTCACATGCCCCAAAACCCTTGTCAAGCACCTAAACCCTAAACCCTAACCCCAAACCCTGAACCCTAAACCCTGAACCCTGAACCCTAAACCCTAAACCCTAAACCCTAACCATTAAGGCGCCTACTTGACCCGACTGACTTGTGGGTCTTGTCATAAATCCCCAACCGCACAGGCCCTTTGCCAAAGAGCTTAAAAAAACCCGAAATTTAAGGTTTAGGGTTTAGGAAACCCTAAACCCGAATCGGAGCTGGCTACAAGCTGCCGATCTTCAGGGCATCATCTTCTTTCCCAGTAACCACTTCATAATAATTACGGGCAACCGTTAGCCTAGGACTCAGCTTCAACACGGAGATCCGAGAGAAACCGAGAGCAACCGCGAAAGACCCCAGACAGAACCTTACACACCCCTGCAGGTCTGCTCCTTGAAGAAAGCCGCCCCGCCCCGGCTCAGGCAATTCGGAGAGCCAAGAATCTCAGCTCAAGCGTAGTTCGCTCATTGCTGTCGGTACACAGATGCTTCAAGATCTCATGGTCCGACAACCTTGAGCAGCATAGTATAGATCTTTCTGGCTTTTAGGTTCTGACACGGTTCCTAAACCCTAGACCCTAAACCCTAAACCCTAAACCCTATAAACCCTGAACACTAAACCCTAAACCCTATAAACCCTAAACACTAGAAACCCTAAACACTAGACCCTAAACCCCACAAACGCACACTACACCCTAAACCCTAAACCCAAACTTCAAGATCGGAAGGCCGACGGCCTCGAGTAATATGGGGGGGGGCCTTGATGCTTAAAAGAATTCTGGAGTCTCGGAACATGTAGCAGGGGGCTTTGCGGTGCATTGTAGCATAATCTAGGAGCCTTCATAATGAGAATAGGGTGTTGGGGTATACTATACTATATTTCGAATAGGGAACTCCCAAAATAATATAGGTAATTATTGAGACCCCGACATTAGATACATTAACGAACCCGAAGGAATGATGTTACTAAGGGTTACTCTAGGGCTTGAGCGGTTTAGGGTTTAGGGTTTAGGGTTTAGGGTTTAGGGTTTAGGGTTTAGGGTTTGGGGCTTATGGGGTTTAGGGTTCAGGGTTTGGGGGTTTAGGGAAACTCTTTTAAGCTAGCAGAATAGGTATCTCTGAGCAGTAAGTACCGCAATTTGGTTCCCTTATATGGTAGCTTAGATTAAAT